GCCCTCGGAGCCTCTGGGGAAATCATGCTGCAGGTACACCAGAAACCTCGAGTTTGTGCTCTCTCGCTTACTGGTTTGGGTTTTTTTTATTTTTGGGGTTTTTTTTTGACCGCGTGCCATCTGCAGGGCTGAATCAGCCACACGTAAAGTAAGTGCCCTAGGGTTATTGTATCAGTGTTAGGACATAACCTTGCACTCCAGTTGTGCTTTCACAGAAATGTAGCTCCTAGATTTTAATCGTTATGCATCTCACTATTAGTTTCTGAAACAACATTAAAACCCACACACATTCTTTCTTTGCAGCACTACAGTATGAGGACAGGAGCATAAATAGAAGAGGCATATTTAAAATAATACAGGAAATGAGTAGCAGTATGGGCAGGACTCCAGATGCCTTGACTCCCATTCTCTGATTAATCTGCGATCCGTGCTACCTGCAGATGAGTGTTCTGTTTCTCTTTCTAGCAAGCACACAAAATGGATTTGCCTGTATGGGTGACACCATATGTCATGACTCAGTTGAAGCAACTGAAAGACTTTGGTTTTGAATTTCTGTTTGGGATCCACAATCGGGTAGAAAAAGCTCGTCTGCAAGGCGGTGAGTGCACTGGGGAGGGAACTTCGTGCTGCGCTGTCTACTTTTTGCCTCTTACCAGCTGCTCCCTTTCCTCAGGGGTCCTCCTCGATCACATAAGGAAAAACCTAACGAAAGCAGCAAACGTTTCTGCCCACCGGAGCCCAAAACTACTTGTCTATTCAGCGGTAAGTCAGAGCTTGGGGGCTACCTTTCATCCATCTCCTCCTCTTCACAGGGGATTGTGGCTTGGTGATAGTTTTAACCCTTTCTGGCTTCTCTCCAGCCCATGCAGTGACCAAGACATGCATGTTTGCCTTTGGCTGGGTGGGATGTGTAGGATCTGGCATCATTCCTCTGGGGCCCCTGAAGAATATTCCCAACCTGCGCTTTGTTCCTGTTAGCTAAGGCTTGTGGAAGAGACTGGCAGACTTTGGGAGCCACTGCTGTATTGATTTGGTAGATGCGTTGGTGCTGCTCCACTGTGATGTTTCAGCAGTGTAGATACAGTCGGCATCTTTCCAGCAGCCCACTGACTGGAAAGTCAAGCATCTTTCCCACATTGCTCCCTAGAGATTAACTCTTAAAGAACAATGGAGGATACGTGTGGCTGTGTTTCACATCCTCCCCTTCTCTGGCTTGGTCACAGATCAGCGTTTTAGCAGTACAGTTCCTCTCACTCCTTCCAGATGGAAGTTACAAAGGTGATGTCCCCTCAGTACTGTCCTGTCCATTGCTGGTATGGTCTGAGCTGCCCTGCCACATCCATAAGGGTGACTGATTTGTTTTTTCTTCCCTCTTTCTCAGCATGACACCACACTTGTGGCACTGCAGATGGCTCTAGATGTCTACAACAAGATTCAAGCACCATATGCCTCATGTCATTTATTTGAGCTGTACCAAGAGGATGATGGGTGAGGGCTGCAGTAAAGACGTCTGCTGTGATTTCACCTCAAGGGATAGATACCTAGTCTAGGCTCCACCCTAGGGGGATGCAATCTTGCTCCTAGTGGCAGATTCTTAGGAGGAAAACTACCACCAGAATAAAGGACATGCACACTGAATGTTTGGGACGGGATTACTTTAGCTGGAGGAGAGAAACACCACCAAACATCTAGCTGTGTTTTGTTTACAGAAACTTCTCTGTGGAGATGTTTTTCCGGAACGAGAGTGGGAAGGAACCTTTCCCACTGACAATACCTGGCTGTCAGCATAAGTGCCCACTGCAGAGATTCTTGGAACTCACAGATCCTGTTGTTCCCCAGGACTGGGAGCAAGAATGCCAGGTAGCAAGCGGCATGCATGACACAGGTGAGCCCAGGCTAGACCAGAGTGTGGCAGAAGGGGAAAGCTTGGACAATACCATGTTGACCACTTGTTTTCTCCCTTGCAGAACTGTTTGTGGGTCTGGCTGTGTGTGGATCCATTCTCCTCCTCCTCATAATCCTCCTCTTGACTGTACTCTTTCGCGTACAGTCTCAGCCCCCTGGCTACCGGCACGTTTCCAATGAGGGAGAAGAGCAGCCCTGACAGTTGCTTCAGCTCCTTCCCAGGCAATAGGAGGGAACAGTGTTGCCCCTAAGGATGATTGGGCACCTTCAGTTACTGAGCATTCTTCTTCTTCGGCTATTGCTTCCCAGAATGAAGCTGGACTTGATTTTTGAATGCTTTTTAAAGGTGACATCTCAGAGAGAGAAGACTGACCTACTCTAATGGAACTGACACCTTAATTCTGAAGCCAGTATACTGTGTGGTGCCCCCAGTCCTCACACAGCTTACCTAGTCTGGGATTCCCAACATGGCCAGCAGGAGCTGGTCAAGTGTATTCCTCCTTTCAGTGACTGTAAATGTTACCACTCACCGTGACTGCGGCAGAGGGGACTGGGCCTCCAGCAGCTGCCACATCCAGTGCAGTCAGGAGCTGCATTTCTCTTCAGTGTCAACCTGCTGGAAGGCTGGGCTTGGAGCAGGGGGCCCACCTCACCAACAATGCACCGAAACTCATCTACTGTCCATGCAGAGGGAACTGCTGCAGATGACAGCAGACAGTGAAAAGTGTTTCTTAAGGTTGCTGCTAAGTAGTTGCTGTTGGCAACTGGTCTTTTTTTTTTCTCCTTCTCACACTGTGGTTCAAGAGAGAACTGGCCTGGATTCAGAACAAGATTGAAAACCCAGCAGTAGTTTCTAGGATTCAGCTCAAAGTAGGTTACACGTGATCCAAAGAAGCTCCAAGACCTTCATCAGAGAGAGAAATTCCTGTGACCGTAGCAAACCTGCACGCAATTTCTTGTGCAGTGTTGGCTCTACAGAGGAGAGTCCCTGCAGATAAGAAACTGTCTAAAGGTTCAGCCTCTGAATTTGACTTCCCCAGCTCTGAACTTCAAGTACCTATTACAGGGAATATCCAGTACTGCAGGCAGTCCACATTTCAGCTATGAGCCAGCCCATTCTGCTTTACCAGCAGAATGTTTTTATTCTGTAATTACAGAGATGTAGCAGCACCGTTTACCTGAGACTAGATTAAATGCCAAATTCTGTAGTTTTTCTTCCTATCTTCACTACTAGATGGACAAAAGACAAGCAAAAAGCCCCTATTAGGGATCAGTTTGCGAGTAACTGAGGATCCCTCTATTCCCCATTCTTTGGTATTTTGTCCAAGGTGTGACTCTTTCTCCAGGCCAGCCTCTCTGTGCGCACTGCAGCTGCTGCAGGGAACTTCATGCCAAGTGCTCACCACCTGCCTTGTAGCTTTTGGCAGAGAGACTGCAGCAGGCACCAGAAGCACAGGCTCTTCACATGGTGATGCTGCACATTCACTTCCCAGTTTTACTTCCCTTTCTGGTGCAGTTCCCTTCCCCTCTTGGCGGCAGAAGCCGGTTCTTAGGTTACAGTCGTTTCCTTTTCTTCCCCTATGGAGTACCGTGGGGACTTTTCCCTAAATTGGCATCTGCCAGCATGGGAACTCTAAATCAGCAGCAGCAGCTTGCTGTACTCAGCATCTTCCTCACCTTTTTGTCCTCTGAAGAGATAATCTGGGTCTCCTGCATAGCAAGACAGTCATAAAGGAAAAACTACTGCCTGTGAGAACAAGCACAAGAAAGAGGCAACAGAAAGTGCATTTAGGAGGACCAGACCTGTTATTTTTAAGGGCAGCAAATTTTCCACACACGGAAGAAAGGCTTCTATGATGATTTAGACATTCTGACTGTGAATGACTTTCTGTAATTGTTCCAGTACATTTCCTTTTCATTATTAAAATCAAATTCGCACTGAACTCCACACCTCCTCTTCTCTAAAAGTTCACAGGGCTAGCACCAGTGTCCTCAGTGCTGGAAAAACACTAAACCCCCTCCCAAAGTAAATCCCTGATTTACAATCTCACTTATAGCAGAGTGAGAACTGAGAAACTATTTTTCACTGCAGCAGCCATGCATGGCTACAGCTTATAATGCAACCCACCCACTGCAGACAATACCACGACTGAGATTTCCACCACTCTTCTAGGCCTCTTAGCCCCCCCACAGAAAGGCCAGTAACTTATTCCCCCATATAAAAACAGTTCAGCAGAATGCTCAAAGCAGCCACGCTCTGTATCAAAGAAAAATGCCAGTTTAGTACAAAACTTTATTATCAATACTGCAAAACTATAAAAGTGAACATAGAGAATCTGAGCAGGCCTGGAGCCTGTCCCATCCATCAACCTCTGGGACAGCAGCAAGGCCCCAGGCAGCCTTGTAAACAAACTAGAAAAAGCAAAACTTTTCAGTTTAACAGCAGTCTTGAGATTTGGCTCTGAGCAGGGGTGTTTGGAAGAAACTCCTCATTTCTGCTTTGCAGCATTTTTAGCCAACATTCTGAAGCACATAGGCATGGGTGAAAAAAATTACCTAAATCAGTGGCAAGAAAAAGCCTAGAACTCTGGAAACAGAAGCTACAGAATCAGTAGGTTCCCAGCTCCATATTGCCCTTGCATCCCATGAGGCAGGCAAAGAGCTGTGCCGTCACCATGTTCTTCGTGGTCTAAAATAGCTGCAAGCACAGAAAAGGCTAAGCCTGAGGTCTTGACAGACACACACTTTCCAAGAAGCTTGCATATGAGAGAAGTTGGTGTCTCCTCGGCTACTTGAGCTACCTATTGCCTCACCCCTGTGAACATTCTACCTTTTCAGGATGTTAACCTTGTTAGCAAAGGGTTTCTCAGCTCAGTTTGACTGGAACGGGCTGGGGACCCTGTCACGAGCTGCTCCACAGCAGACTACAGGAGATGGTAACCTCTGACAAGTGATGACAAGCAGATGTGGCAGGCTGGAAACAGTAACGTCAGCAGGGTCTGAGAGCATCTTTGAAGTTTTCCTAGTGCCTCAGAAAATGTGTGGTAACTCCAGTTGGAGGAGGAACTGGGTACTGACACAAGTTTCTAGGAGGGGAACCAAAGGGAATCAAGGAAGTTCAGATCCAGGGAGGAAGGACAAAGTAAATGTCTAATGCCCTGCGCAGCTTATACTGCCCCCTGCCAACACTGAATCTGTACCCTATGATCTAGAAAGGATCAAAATACATCACTCCTGTAGATCCTTCCCTTTTCGCTTCCTTCCCTGTGATTTAGAACCACTGCTTTTTGTTCTCGTCTCCTCCAGCTCCCAAGACAGTAAGTTAGTTTTGAGTTTGCTTGTCCCAGGGTTTGCCTGCCTTTGCCCTCCACGTCTGGATGAACTCCAGCTTCCAATCCCCTGTTCTATCATGGCTTTCAGAAGATGTTCTTGCTTCTTGGCCACCATCTCCTCCCGGCTCCAGATCAGAATATTAAAGCCTGAAAGGAAAAGTTAAACACTGTGCATCAGAAACTCTACATCAAATATAATACTCTATGTCACTTAAATGCCAGAAATTCAAAATGCTTTTCTGATGTAAGGTATATCCAAGGTACAAAGGATGCAAAGATATTTATTGCAGATGCTTTCTCCTCACAGCCATCTAACCTAAACATCGAGTAATTCCTAATCTCATCTGTCACAGATTTTAAGACCTAAATCTACAGCCAGCTTCCTTAATCCCATACAGCCTGCAAAAAACTGCATAATCTTGGCTCTGCAGCCTAGGAAATAAGTTGAATGAAAAGAGAGGGTACAGCCTAGCAGGAAAAGGCTTCCCCCGGCCTTTCATCGTTTTCTGCTGCTGTTGCACGGCTGGCAGATGGCAGCAGCTCCCAGTGGCAGGGAGGCTTCTTGCTCCTTCGGACTTACTGCTCTCGGGAACGTTACACAGGAGGTGATTAGTAACCTGTTTGGTTACTAGTCTACCTAACATTGGAACAATCTCCCAGGGGAAGTGGTAAACCTCCCTACACTGGGCAGTTTTAAGAGTCAGCTTGTCAGGATGCCAACTCATCTCATTTAAACTATACCTCGAGAGGTTGGACTAGATGATCCTTGTGGTCCCTTCCAACCTGGTATTCTACAATTCTACTCTATGATTCTCCCTGCAAAGGTGGCAGACTGAAAGGAAGGTCCTGATCCCTTCTACAGATGTACAAAATTATGGAGGACTATTAGCAAGTGGCATTTGGGAAACCCTCACCCACAACTTGCTTTAGTTTGGAGAAGCAAGCCTGCCCTTTTCTGTGACTGGAACCCACCTGTGCTTAGTGCCCCAGGTTCTCCTTACTTACCCATGCCAGAAGCCAGTGTGTCTCCCATAGGGTTAAATTTATTGAGCTGAAAACGGAAACACAACCAGAGTCGGTAAGAGCATCGCTGTTTATGTAACAGAGTCATAAGAGCACCACGGCTTACATAACAGCAACAGCCCATCTGGAAAACCCGATGTTCCCTAAAGAGTATCACAGAAAATCCACAGATGACCATGGACCAGCCCTGCTCGAGTCAGCAGCTTTAGCTGGCAGCCATACCCCCACGAGAGCGTGAGTCTGTCACAAGCAAAGAGGATGCTCCTATTGTTCTAGTCCCTAGCCTGTATCTCTTGGCTGTGGCTCAATACACAGCGGTTCTTTTAGCTACAGTGCTCAACTCACCGAGATGATACCAGAAGCATTTGGATCATAGAGCTGACAAACCATCTCCCCAGTGTTTCCATCAAATACATCAACAGTTCGTAGCTCATTCACCGTGTACCCTGGGAACTTAGGGTCCGGGTAGCGACCTGCTACAATGAGGTCATAGCGAGGATGCCACGTTGCCTAGGCACAGAGCAGAGGGATGGGGAGTTAGGAGAAAGGGACAGAGTTCATACTGACACACACCAGTAATGGGCCAACAGTCTGTACATCCCACCCACAGCCTGAGGAACATGGGTATCCTCAGAATGGTGTTCTGCTGGGAGCTGCAGCAGTGTGAACCCATCAGTGTAGCATCCTGACCAGAAATCAGACCATTTCTGATTTACAACCAGCTGCTAGCACCAAGCATGATACTCCTCTCACACTGCACTGGCTTAACTCACCTTAATAGGTGTGAGGTGCTGAAACTGCCGATGTGGATGTGGGATCACATGCTGTGGCTTGGTCCAGTCTGAAGATGAGTAAACCCTGATTTCACTGCGCTGGTCTGTGCTGAGGAGCTTGGCACCATCTGTTGGGCTGAAATAAGCTAGGGGAGGGGGACAATAAGGCAAACAAAAGATGACAACGCTGTGACTGACAAGAAACATGAGTCATGTTTCTCTGACTGAAAACCCATTGCTATTTCTTTAATAGGGATGTGGCCATGTGTCCCAACAGACAGGACTTTATCTGTCTCAATCAAACTCAAAGCTCTTGCGAGCAGTAAGCTGAAACCCACAGTGCTGGGTTACATAGGAAAAATCATTATTCTCATTTTAGAATCACAGAGAGACATTGCAAACAAAGGAATTTGCTCACCCAAACCAAAAGTTAGTGGAAAAGCTGGAGATAAGACACCTGCAGTTTGAATTTCCATAAACTGGTAAAAACTGCACCCAAGAAACAGAGGTTTGAGTCCCAGTAAATTCAGTTTCCTAGCTCAGCCACCGCTGATGCTTCCACACTCACCTCACATGGCACAGTGCCGGCAAGTCTAAGACTGTGCTGCAGCTGCCCTGTCCACCTCCCTGCCTCTGGCCACGCATTCCCACTGCCTGCCTGCCTTTAACACGAGCTGCCGCACAACTTCGTATCTGAGCAAAAGTTAACATTGCCACAACAATAAAAGCTGAGCTGACTGGACTCTCTTCAGATATCCATGCAATGAAATCCTTATTGTAACTCACCTGCATTGACAGGTTTGTCATGAGGAAGCACATGGAGAAAGTTCGTTTTGTTTTTGATGTTCCTGAGGTCCCAGATTTTGACTGTCTGATCCACAGATGCTGTGGCCAACAACCACTCACACCGGGAGTTGAATTCCACATGAGTCACTTTCTTCTTGTGCAATTTCAGCTTCCAAATCTGCAGCAGAGGAAACAGAAAATCACACAGAAAAAATAATCAAGGTCTGAAGTAAAGAAATTTAATAATATTCTACTAATGCAGAATAAGGAGGTCACACTTTTACAGAATTAAAAAACTTCTAAAATACACCAAGAATTTATCCACTGGAAACGAGAAAGGAGAATAATGACCTTGGGAACTAACTATTTAATTCTAGGAGAACTCTGATCCACCAATTTATTACAGCTATGAGAAAGGACAATACAATCCCTGGTTCACGGAGGGAAGTATAAGTGCCACCGTACAGAGCAAGATCACATCTATAATATTTTATGCAGTACCAGTCTTCCACCTGAAGAAAGATTAAACAGACTGGAACAGGTACGGAAAATGCGCTGCCAAGGTAAGAAGGAAGAGCCTGCTTTGTGGGAGAAGACCAGAAGAGCTTGCTTTGTTTATCTTAGTAAGAAAGGTGAGAGGAGATGTAATTCGCTTCTAGAAATACATCAGCAAAGAAACACGAGGCTAGGAGAAATATTTCAGTTAAGAAGAAATGGATATAAACTGGCCATGAATAAATTTGTATCTGAAGCCAGAAGATTATTTCTAATCAAAAGGATGAAGCTGGCCCATCCTCCCTACAATAACAGGTAGTGCAGAAAAGACTGCCACATTTTTTCAGGAGAAAAAAACGGAAAGGGAGCAACTAACCTCGATTAAGTACAAATTATGTGGAGCACTCCTGACTCTGCCTGCAGATTTACACAGCTGCCTCTGGCCACAGCTCACTGGGTGGCAAACTTACAGAAGTTACCCTCACACAGGAGAAATGGTAATTCCGGTGTGAGGGTACCGCAGGCTCTTGAAAGCATGGTGTTCCTGCACTGCTTCAGACTCGAAGGCGCAGTCTGTCTCTGCTTGCCCTCTCGTGTCTAATGGCAGTAGTGCAGTTCCTGACCCAACATTTGCTGAATTACTGCTGTGTACCCACTCCAAGGCCACAGATGGGTAAACATCAAAGCATTATCTCCTAAACGACTCCCATCAGTGCACTAAGTTTCTGGAATTGTGAAGGTTGTTGACAAGAGGGTGCTCACATCTTCAGGTTACCCTATAATTTTCCAGTAGCAATACTCTTAAGGCAGGGGTAGGACATGACAAAGTCCCTGTTTGGGAACTGTTACCAATACGCTCAACAATATGAAAAAGTCTAGTGAGGGGCAGAAGTGGAGCACTTCTCACCACCTAGACAACGGGTGGACTCATCTCCTGAGCTGCAAAGTACTTGCTCCTCTTTTCAGGGTCCCCGTAGTGTAGGCAAGCACATGAGCCATAAAGATTCCCATAGGGGTAACGCTGCATGGAGCCATACAAACCTCTTCACCAGAAGTGCTGAGCAGGACCACGTTGCCCACATTATCACCCGTCACCACTGCACGGCTGCTTGCAGAAACATCAACGCTGCAGTACCAGCAACTAGAGGGAAAGACACCAAATCAGTGCTGCCTCCCACAGGCAACTGAAGGCAGTGGAGCTCTGATTCACATCCCATCCCTGACAAGGGAGACTCTTAACAGATCGTAACTGCTGTCTCCTGCCTGATGCTGCGGGCCTGAGTATCAGGAAGGGGAATAGCTTGTCAGAAATGCTTTCTATTGGTGACACACTTGGACAGTGCAACATAACAGAGGCTGAAAAGCCACTCGGTGCCTGCACATGGACACACCTTGGGAAAGATCAGAACATTGTTACATTGATGAATGTACGGAAACAGCTTTAAAATTACATTTTCCACAAAACACTGAAGCAGCAGTAAAGAGAAAACAAAAGCTTTGGATTGGAAAGTTGCACATCAAACTCTCTCAGATTCATGCTCCAGGAAACAAAACTCTGCTGGGAAGAGAAGGGCAGCAAGAATAAAGCCGGGGTCCTTTGGGAACTTGGGAAAGCTTCCCCTCCAAAGATAAATTATTCCAGAGTTTAAGGTCATGGAATTTAGCATGGTGAGCCTGAAGCCTCCAGAAAGGCAGCAGGGTAAACTCAGTAACGTGAAACTCAGATTGTGCAGGAATGTTTTTGTGGCTCTCTTGTGCTACCTGAGCTGCTACAGACAAAACAAAACAGAGATAACAATGAAGAGGAGGAAGTTATTCTGCTCTTCTCACCTCACACTTCATGAAGTGAAAAGCTGCCAGTATCTGCAAAACAGGAGATGGCACCACCAGAAAGCAACACCAAAAGACATAGGCAGCATGCTCAGCTACTGTAAAAGCTTAAGTGTCCTATGCTGCCTAGTTTGGCACCCAGCCTGCAGCACTAGAGGCGGCACCAGCAGCCTGTATCCAAGCTCCCTCACAGGACGAGGTCATACCAAGAGTCTCCTAACACTGGCAAAGATGAAGATGTTAGAGAACACAACAAGCAGTGCAGCATGAACCCCAAAGAACAGAGAATCAACCTTGCAGTGCTCCCTTCTCACCAAACATTATGGAACTCATGGCCACAGTCCAGGGCATGGGAGATCACTTGCACCGCTCTGCCCTCAAGGTCCTGCAGACTTAGGGTGCCATCCCCTGAGGCCACATAAAGCTTGACTGCCTCGTAAGGACTGAACTTCATGTCTCCGAGAGAATCTCCTGGCCCTTTCTGGAATACACACAAAGCCAAGAGGCATCAGGTTAGAGTGGAAGACAAAATCTGAATACAACAGTCATCACCTGGAACACACTGCCAGTTTCCTTGGGTACAATGCACTGCTGACAGGGCACATACACTCCTTTTTTCTAATCCGTTTCCTATCTAAGCATATACATTCTGAGCCTGTAAGTACAACCCCACCACTTTAGGCTGCAAACCTCATTAGCAGCATTGCTGCTTCTGCTGTGGGGGTAGGACTAATCTTCAGTGATCCACCTGGCTCAGACCAGGCTTAGGAGATCACAAGCAAAACCAGCAGCATTTCATACAGAAACCACGTAAAATCTCATGACAGCCTGGCACCAAGCTTTTCGTACAGAGACTTCATTCACCAGTTCCCTACAGGCTGCTTCTAGTGCTGTATCTGGTCTTTCTCAAGGTACCAGCAGGCAGGATGAAAACAGTGCAAGGAGAAATCCTACTGCTAACCCCATGGCACAGGAATCTTATGCTCTGTGTTATATCGTTGTCAAGTTAGGTTGTTTCCCTCCCATCTGTCTACTGATGAAACATATAAACTCTACACATGGCCAGAAAAGGAGGATGCTAGCTGGGAGTCCCCGGAGTCTTTGATACTCAAGTGCACTCCATCTGATGCTCACAGAGCAACTGCTTAATAAAGTCTCACTGTAAATACTAGATTTCCAAAGCCAATAAAGAAAAACAAGGTCAGCCCATAGATCCTGCCTGTTCTCACTGCAGTAGGAGGAGAATGGCGTGCCCTTTCAAATCCAAGCATCATTGCTGTGACGGGCATGGCACCGGGATAGGAGATCTTCATGTCCCACGACCCAGTCTATCTCGCCTTGCTCACCAGTCATCCCAGCACTGCTTGGGTTCACCTTCTACCCTGTTAAAAGGCTGCAGCCAACCAACCATGAAAGCTGCCACTGAGAAAGAATCAGGTGGGAAAAAATAAAGAGAAGGCTAACCCAAATTCCCTCACTTACCTTTAAGCACTACACTGAACTAATTGAAGAGCTCAGAGCTTATCTTTAGATAAGCACCAAAAGTTAGGTGGGACAAATTGGGGTGATTCTTATGACACGCACCACTTGAAGTCAGTGGCATTTGTGGAGAAGCACTGAGGGGACTATAAACTGACCTGTAAGAACCATCTGACAACAAGCAGCACTGCTGACAGATGAAGAAGTTAGAAAGTTCCCAGAGTACAGAGCTATTGGAGGCTTAAGAACATATAGCTGAGGAAATCCACAGGCACCCCCATGCTCTCCCATGTGTAACAGGAAGTAAGCAACATCAAGGTCCCTCCCCTTTGTGAAGAAAACCTCTCTCCTACCCACCACCCCATTTCAGGGAAAAATAAAAAGGGAGGGTGAGCCTCTCTGGAAGAGAGAGGATCCCTGAAATTCACAGGATAAAGGACATGTATGTGGAGAAGAGGAAGCCCAGCTCCCACAAGTTAAGAGACAAACATCTCTCTCTCTCTGTAGCACTCCTGCCAGCAGGACACAGAGGCCCAAAGCATTGCTGCATTTCTTACTCCCAGTCCTCGGTGCTGGTGAAGACCCGGACAGCATTGCCATTAAAATCCTGCAGGGTGGTTGTGCCGGCAACTGATGAAGTGTACAGCTGACTAGGGTTAAAAGGGTTAAACTTCATTCCTGTGATGGCCCCTCCAGCTCCCATCTACAAGGAAGGGGATGAACAAAAGAAAAAACCACTGAGTGATGTGGAAGGAGAAAAGTGTGTACTGTAAGTCTGCATTCACTGCTATGTCCTTAACAGCAACAGTGAAACACACCACAGGCCTTCCAGGAGGCAAAGACAACCATGTCTTCCCATACAGCGGCTGTCTAGACAGCTGCCCTCCTGGAGGACAACGCTGCAACTCCTTCAGTCCCCTGGCTGGCTGGCACCGCACTATTTACAAAAAGAGAAAGAGACTCTGGAATTTCTGGAGGATAGCACTCCTCCCAGTGTACACGTATGTTAATTCATAAAAAGGAAGTCTTTGAGCCCATTTGGAATGGGAAAGGCTGAATACAGCAATGAGGGCACACGCCAGCTATATGAGCCATTCATTCTACCTTAGTTTCTCACTTTAGATAAAGGGCCTTTGTTTCTCCTCAAAGACGTTTCCTCATTTAAGACAAAACAGAAGGCTAGCAGAAAAAGATCAAGACTTAAAACAGACAGACCCTCTCTGCCTAGTTGTTTCTGGCATCTCTTTAAGACTTTTGCCAGTTGCTGCATTATTTTCCCTCTGAGCATACAGCAAGTACTGCTTCACTGTGAACTTAATCAACACACCTCGGTTCTCCCCAGCATGATTATCTACTCTGCAACCCAAGGCCCTTATGTGCTTCTCACAACAGACCTCAGTTTTGATTTGCAGTAAATACTGTTGGTACTCCAGTTTCCCCTCCCACCCATTCCATGCACCCAGAGGCTTACCCCTTTTATGAAGCAGGTTTTAGTAAGTACTTCATAGTCCCAAAGAATGATGTCTCCACCTTTGGAACCAGCAGCTACAGTACTGGGGTGTGTTGGATGCCATTCCAGGCATGTCACTCTCCTGTCAAAGGGACTTGCTGTTCGAAAGAGGCGGTATGAGGCAAGAGAACGCAGAAAGGGCAGCTGCAGGCACTGTTAAAAAGATAAAAATAATTATGACTTTTGCAGGGATCCCTGAGATTCTCTGAATGAGGAGTGCTAACAATTTCTAATTGCCATCAGTGTTAGTACATTTACACAAAATTCTAAGCCTCTCTGTAAAAAGAAGAGAAAATGCCGTCCCCAAGGGAAACGGTCTGTGACCACAAAAATCCACGTTAGCCACAGCACTCAGAAAGCAACAAGAGAACTGAGAGATATCACACTTTCAGTGGGCTGAGCTAAAAGGCAGGATAATTAACATTGGAGAAGAACATGCCTCTGCACCAGTAAAATGCACTTACAGCTATCTGTCTTTATTAAGCATCCCAAATGTTACACATCATCCAGAGACGCCACGTTAGGGTCCTCCATCCAAACTGCCTGCAGCTCAACTATGCAGCATAAGAGTGAACACAACACTTGAAATAGGGAATGAGAACTCATGACATAATTGTATTGTTATTCAGCTGAGGCATAGGTACCTCTTAGATGAGCTTGTGATTTCTTTATCATTTGGATACTTAAAACAGACAAAACCATCTGGAAGGTAAAGCTAGCCCAGATGCTTCCCACCTATGGATGTTACAGAAAAGGTTAATTTTCAAACGAAAGAAAGAGTATGGCTCTGAAAAACAGGAAAACATGGACGTCATGGAATATGTCTGTGAAGAGGAAAAATCAGCACTAAACTGCACATGATTAGCAAAGTAGAGTGGATACAAAAATAGTACAACAAAACATTCAGATCAGCATGCAATAACTCAGTTGGTAGAGTGGGTAAGTTTAAATATGATTCCAGGAAGCACAGAATTAACAGAGGATAAAATGTGGAGTGACAGGGCTGAGTCAACCGAAAGGGAAAGCCATCTCAGCTCTAACATTTTACAGGATTAAGAAACCTAATGGTGCACCAGATTTGGAGCCACAAACTGTGTATGTGAGGAACTTTAAGCCCCTTAAAGTTTCCCAACTTGTGATGAAGAAGTTTTTATGCTGGGAGCTGAGATGTCCAACAGGTCATGAAGGAGAAACTCCTTACCTGCCTGAGCTGTGCCCGAATGGAGCCTCCCAGCCTGTTCTGGTAGATATAATGAACAATGCTGCACTGCCGCTCCAGCTGATGGAAAAGAACTCTGTTGTTTCTCACTACAGATCCAACACCACTCCAACCTGCCAAAGAGGAAAAGAGTACAACTTACTGAGAGCCAATGCCTGTCATGCTCATTCACTAAACAGCAAAAGATGATGTCTGCATTTGCTGCTACATCCATGAAAAGCTTCATCCACAAGATAAAAGTCTCTAAATTATTCTTGCACGTCTAAAGTACAGCAGCTTCTGCAATTATGGAGTCTGGTGCTTCCCATAGGCTGCCAGAGCTTTGTGTATGCTTCCTCTCATTAAACCTTCCTTCTCCTTGTCAAAAAGACAACAGGAGAGGACTAAAGCAATGCCACAGGTGATGCATCTCTGGAGCAGTATGCAGTTTGAATGCTTCATACCCAAAATACAACGAAGCTGTCCGAAGCCCCAACAACTTAGAAATACGCTCTGGGAGGTGGTAAGCCCCTGGGTACAGCAAAGGGAAAGTCAGACGTGTGACCAGCAGAAACGTGAACACCTGAAAATTCCCCAAGCATAGCAACACGAGTTCCCCCACAGTTCCTGAAACGCCTGCTTGTGAATCAGAATTTTCGATCTGCTTGTGCTGTAGCCCGTACAGTCTGGCTACAGCACTGCAAGGTTTGTTTGTGATAATAGACTTGCTGATGCCTCATCGCCTGAAAACCTTTCTGTTCGGAGTGATTTTTGCTGAGAGTACAGCGTGCTTCTACATTCTGTTCATGTTCCAGGTTTTTATCTTCAGGGACCTTTACATAAAAACCGTATCTGCTCAGTCCCATGTCTGTGATCTAATCATCCCCACGGCAATAGTCTGTAACACCCCAGGGGACCTAGACATCAAATTCATTTCCTAAAAAACAAAAATGCTGTTTTCATTTATTTAAAATAAACCAAACAAATAAAAAAACACCAGAAGACCAAAGCCATAGGGATTATTCTATATGGTTAGAACCTGAACAAAAACTTTCTCGAATGCAACACTGGAGGCTATAAATGCACAGGTGTGAAACTAAACTTCTTTGTTCACATGCCAACATAGCACCAACACTTGTCACAACTGTTGGAATAGGTATGAAAGTATTTATATTCTAACTCCTTTTTTCACAGAATAATTAGCATCCACTGTTCCTTCTTCAGAGGATATAGAAGTATTTTTTCCTAATTCTGCTTTATTATGAAAGATAATTTATTAAGAAACAAACTCTAGGCCTTTTTAGAATTTGCTGGAAGAACCCTTTACAAAGGTGTTTCACTTGCAAGAAACTGAATGTGTCCTTTATGGCTCAGCAGAAAAAAGAATTTTTCAAAACACATAAAAATCAAAACTGGAACACAGAATGGGAAAGCTCAGATACAAAGGTCTTCATCTTTTTAAAAAAGGTTTAAGGGAAAAATAGGAGAGACCCCATTTTTCCAAAGTACCAGCTACATCCAGTTCCCTCTGAATTTTACAGGAACTGCAGATGCTCATCATGAAAATCATGGAGCTAAATTAACTACAAAAGCTGCTTAACTATCTACAACTATACACAGAACTCCTTTCAGAGTATTTTGCCTTCACATCAAAAGTTCACACTGCCAACTGCTCCAAGTCTGGAGTTATACACCAGAAAATGTAGAACTCCTGTACCTCTGACTGGCAAAGAACACTTCAGTAATTTCTGGATCCTTATAGCCAAAATTTTACACAAAGTGTGCAGTATTTCCCCACAAAGCAGTGACTCTAGTGACCTCCTAAACAAACGGCAGAATTAAAGGTTTTATCTGAGGAGGCTGAGGGGAGACCTTATCACACAGAACTTATCACTTTCTACGACTACCTGAAAGGAGATCATGACAAGGTAAAGGTCGATCTCTTTTCTCAAGTAACACGATGAGAGGTTGGACAGATTGGATATTAGGAAAAATTTCTTCACCAAGAGGGTTGTCAAGCATTGGAACAGGCTGCCCATGGAAACTGTGAAATCACCATCCTTGGAGGTATTTAAAAGACGTGTAGGCGTGGTTCTTGGGGACATGGTTTAGTGGTGGACTTGGCAGTGTTAGGATAACGGTTGGACTCAATAATCTTAAGGGTCTTTTCCAACCTAAATGATTCTATATCAGTCCTTACTGTAGCTGAAGCGAACACAATCTTCTTGATGCTGGAGCATGTACAGAGGAGGCCACAAAGATGATCAAAAGGCTGGAGCACCTCTCCTATGAAGATAGGCTGAGAGAGTTGGGGTTGTTCAGCTTGGAGAAGAGGAGGCTCCAGGGGGACCTTATAGCGACCTTCCAATACCTGAAAGGTGCCTATAAGAAATCTGGGGAAGAGCTGTTCATGAAGTCATGTAGCGACAGGAAGAGGGGTAATGGTTTTAAACTAGAAAAGGGTAGATTTAGGTTGGATGTTAGGAAGAAGTTCTTCAATATGAGGGTGGTAGATCACTAGAACAGGTTGCCCAGAGAGATGGTGGAGGCCCCATCCCTGGAGATATTCAAGGTCAGTCTTGATGGGGCTCTGAACAACCTGATCTAGTAACAGTGTCCCTGCTGACTGCAGGGGGCTTGACCAAGATGATCTGTAAAGGTCTCTTCCAATCCAATACATTCTATGATTCTGTGATTCTATGATAATGCAAAGCATTAACCTTTCCATTATCTTAGAACTTAATTACCTCTCCTATTATATCAAAACAACTTTTAAGATTTTTGTTTTTTAAGTTACAGACTAAAGGAAAAAAAATGCACATGTGGAAAAGCTACCAGTGGAAATTCTGTCCAGTCTAATCCAAACATAGAGGTAGAAAGTATTCCTACTTACTGTACCAAAAGTTAGAATATGCAAAGAATTGGGTGGAAATGCATCCTGGTTTGAGCTAAGTAGAACTAACTTTCTATTTAGTGATTTTACTTTTCAGCTCAGTCTCTTCTAAGTGGCTGAACTTGCCGAAAAACTAGCAGAACCAGATACTGTGTACTGCTACCCAGTGATAATGTTCAAGGACACTGTCTCACCATGGGTGCCGTGTCTGCACCTACGGGGGTGGAAGTGGACCCAAAACTGACCAACGAGGTATTCCATCCCACATACGCCAAACTCAGTATAAAGCTGAGGGATCATGAGGGTCTTGACCTTTCCATCTCAGACCCTTCCTTCCATCTCGACCTCTTCAATGGCCAAAGTCCAAGCAGAACCCTACTAGTTCGCCTGCCTCTGATCCTGATCTGTGTGTTCCTGTTCCCACCTGCTGATGGGCCCAGACTGGGACTTTTTCCATGCCCTGATCCACAGAGCCTCTGGTGACATAATCGTCATTAGGGGAAGGTGGGGGGAGGATTTTATATTGGTTTTGTGTATATATATTTGTACCTATCTGTATATATTTCATTGTTTTCCTATTTACATTATTATTATCCTGTAGTATTACTATTATTGTTTTATTAAACCTCTTTGTTTTATTTTCCAACCCGTAAAGTCTCTCTCCCTTTTTCTCTTTTCTCTTCCCTTCTGGGGAGGGGAGAGGGGTTGACAGAGAGCATCTGTCCAGGATTTAGTGGGCAGTCCAGTCCTAAACCATGACAAAATGCCAGTTCAGACTACATGCCGTATGATACCAACCTTACGACTATGAAACTACATTAAGAATAGCATGGGAGCAAAAAAAAATCTATTACCAAGAATAGTCTGTCCTAAAACAAAGCAGACATCTGGTAATTCAGAAATTCCACAGAACTTAACCACCCTCAAACAAGCTCTGACAGTGAGCAGGCTTCTACTAAGGGATACTGAGTGTCAAAAATGAAACACGCCTGCATGCACACGTGCACACACACACACTCACTAGGCAGATAACTGGAAGACAAACTACCCCAATACATCTCCAAGTATCACTTCAATATATGACCCCATCTGAACACTCATGTCTGAGCACGCTTCTTGGCATCCTCTCTGTTCAACTAGTCAATGCCTGTAATTTAGGGTAAATCTGGTTGGGAGAAACAGTAAAGATCTGAGGAAATGTTACCGATTTTCTCTGGGGGTTTGGATGTTTTTCTCAAAAACAACCTATTTGCTTGTGGCTCATTCCCTAGTTCCTCGTAGTCCGGTTTCCTCTTCCCAGCTGATTTTGCCTCCTCCAGCCAATGCTCATGTGCCCTCTCATGCTTCTTGTCCTTTGACTGGTTCACTGGAGCCATTCTGTCTGACCACTAAAAGCAAACAAAGCACAGAAAGTAAGACTGTCGTACACTTTTAACTAGAAGACAGAGAGGAAAGCTGGAATGAAACATATCCCAGTGGTCTGAAAGTAGTGATTATACCTGTACCCTCTTTCATCAGCATGACACTAGCTTTTTGTTGTGCACTGCTGGACAGAACAGGTTCAAGAAACTCTTCTTTGTTCACATATGAAAATGAACGCATCCTAAAGCATTAGAATATGTTTTGACAGATGTGCTTCTACTGAACTTTTAAGCCTAAAACCCACAGAGCTGCACAAAGTACATCCGTGAAACCACATAATACCCTAACTGTTTCTCCAGTAGCTCACATTGAGCTCTTTAAGATTCAGCTAAGAAAAGGGTCAGAGCTTTTACGGCAGTGGCCAGGGCTGACTGGTCTTCCCCCAAATATGCTCAGAAGGTACTTCCTATCTGACAGCCATGTTTCCTAATAACCACCACGATATTTGGATTGGGGTTCTACACTGGCTGGCAATCACACTTGAACTGCTCTTCTGACCAGCGGTGGGTCACAGCAACTCGCCTGTCATGTTATGACGACCAAAATGCCACCCAGTCCCCAGAGAAAGGCGCGGGCCTCCCGCAGCAGGGGGTGATGCGTCACACGCTGCTCGCAGCTGCAGATTCCCCCAGAAGCTCC